GAAGGAAGGAAGGAAGGAAGGAAGGAAGGAAGGAAGGAAGGAAGGAAAAGGGGAAGGGAAGGGGTAAGTAGGTCTTGGCAACTAGAACTTTATCCTATTTTGCTTTCTGTACCTTTACTGTTGATGTGTGAGGCACTTTAATTCTTACAATGTTGTTTTTGAATATTTCAGGAACTTCTACTATCATGTCCCAGGGAGAAGGAGCTGCACCATACATAGCAGAATCAACAGGTTCTCCTGATCGAAGGCAAGGATGATTGGACAATGTCATAATATTATATCTTGTGCACGAACATTTCAGCAGCATAGCTTGGGACATGCATATTTAATTTCAATGAAAGCGAATACTCAGGGATGAATTGTGGAATCCTTAGTGCTCTCTGAGCTTGGTTATTCACTTTCAAATATTTCATTACCCAACTAGATAACCGGTTAACTACATTTTTAACCTGGACCCTCTCCATTTGTGGACTTCAACTCCCAAACTTATTATGTTGGTTAGAAAATTCTGAGAGTTGAAATTCTCACCTTTTACACTGTTTATTTTCTTAGAATAGTTCCCTATGGCTGAAAGGCAGGATATAAAATAGTAGTAATAGCAAAAAGAAGTCCATTTTTCTCAGAAAGCAGATCAAGCCTGAATGTTATGCAGTTCATGTATTTCATCCTATCTATATAAGTGAATTAATATTTAAGTATTAAAAAGCTCCCTTCCAAGGAACTCAACAAATTATACAGTTCATTATACTAGTGGAATTCTTAAGCAGCTCTTTCAATGTAATGCAATCACAAAATGCATTATCATGTCCAAATTAATAAATTCTTATAGTGATGTAAATAGATCATTAATTTTCTAAACTCACATTAATCCTGAACTGGTGCTGTAAAGCCACATCTATCATCCTTTCTCTTGGCAAAAGTTCACTACTAAAGTTTGAAAGTGAGGACAAGTATACTAGCTTCATCCTATGATTTGGTTATCCTCATATCCTCCTCAAACTGAGGTAAAAGACTCTTATAAACATGGTTTCCCAGTGTACTGAATCAAGCATAAGGCCCTAGAATACAGAAGACTCCATGGATACAGAAACTATCCTCACACTTATAACTTATAGGGTGAAGCATGTCTCTGCTACCCACATTGCTGCTACTAAAAGAAGAATTTATAAATAGGTCTGAATATTAGAACAAAATTGAATGTGGCATGACACAATGAAAATTGATGATGGGCAAGCAAGATGTCTCCAGTATGAAATCTGAATCCCATATGAAGCTTAATACAATCCAATGCCATCCCTATGACTTCCCCAACAACCACCAGGAGGAATACAAATTTGAAGACAAACGTACAATATATTGGAGCAGCAAAATCAAAGTTCTACTATAGCATAGCAACACTTACCTCTATATGGTATGGTTTTCCATAATGAAGACCTTGATTCAGTGAAAGTCTCCAAGAAATACTAAAAAAAATTCAATAAAAATATAAATAAGTTTTTAAAAATTTATAAATATAAATAAATACAAAAACTGCAGCTTAGTCTCAAAAAATAGCAGGTTAACAGAAATCTCTTATCAAAGGCAGCCATGGAGTGCAGAGAAGACCAATATCTTTATACAGTACATAATAAAGAAACAACTTATGAAATAATCGAAACTGCCAGTTAAGATTGCTTTAACTAAAGTTTTATTCTGCTTAGTCCACATAACTAGGATATTGGAAGCTATTGATGCTGGTTTCTTGGGGCTTTGTGAGTTCCCACATTTCATTACAAGGCTAGGTAATATCAATGTAAGGGAGGGTAGGTTTTACTGTTTGTTTATACATATCACGTTTCCCCGAAAATAAGCCATATCCCAAAAATAAACCCTAGCATGTTTTTATGTACCTAATATAAGACTTATCCCCAAAATAACTCCTACTTAAGAGGCTCCACAGCTGGCTGGCCACCCATTCTGTCTAGTTGCTCGTGGTGCCACAACCACAAGGTGAGATGAGGGTGTGATGTAGCTGCCCATGTGCCCCACGCTGACTTCCTCAGGGCCCCCACAGCCAGGCCATCCATGCCCCAACACCTGCCTTGCAGGGGCAGCACTGGTAGCGATGTGCAGCAGGAGCCCACGTGGCCACCAGCCCACTTCTGCTTGCTCGCAGCTGCAATGGAGCAAAAGGTTGATTGGCATACCGGTGCTGCAGCCACAAGGTGAGGCAGGTGTCGGGGTATGTGAGCAATTCCATTCTCCCCTGCCTCACAGCGGCATTATCACACCATGCAGCCTCCTGCCCTGCCACAAACAAGCAGAAGTCGGCCTTCTGTACATGGAAAAATAATAAGACACACACCCCTCCCAAAAAATAAGCCCTAGTGCTTATTTTGGGGCCCAGTCTTATTTTCAGGGAAACACAGGTAGGAGTTTGCCCTGCCAGCTAGAGTATTGTTTCTTCTGTGTTTTCCTAGTGCAATTTCCTCTTCATGTGGACTTAGAGAGGTGTTCTAGGCTGTTAGTTTCCTTCCCCGACTTGTGATTGTATCTTTAACATAGTATGTAAAGGGAATTTATCTCAATGTGTCTATTGATGGTTGATTTGTCTGGATGCCAAACTTCCAGGAATTTCCAAGCATTTTAGCACAATATAATATTAATTATGGTAGTTGCTGACAAGGAAGATTGTCTAGCATTATGACTTGTTACTGTTGTTGTTACTGTTACGATTTAGGGTGAATGTGGCCCATATCCACTGACTTCAATTCAAGCCACCAATCAGGATCCACAAGATGAAAGCTATGTTCTATATTATAAAGTCATAAATAAAATTTATCCAAACTTGAACTCGTTACAAAGTGCCAGCAAGTCAACTGATTTTATGAAGTTTGTGTTCCTCTTTCCTTCCAATCTCTTAAAACATACAATTCTGTACATAAGACATTGAGCAACAGATGACTTTCTCAGTCCAACTGGACATCATGTTATGTGTTTGTGTCCCCACAGTGAATTATCAAGCTGTCAATTTCTATTCTCTTTCCAATCACTTATTTCCTGGTTGGAAGGTTCTTTCTTCACCACTGATATTTTATTGAAAAAAACCAAATGGGTAAGGAAAGGAACAAGGAGAAAAAAAAGGAAAAAAAGCAGCCAGCCACAAAAGAAACACAAACCATATCTGAACAGAAGTGACAGTCTACTTAACATTCTCCCCACTCCTCCAGTTTTTTTTTTACAGTCATCACTACAGTAAGCATTATTCTTCCAGGGTTAGATAGGTGTCCATTTCTTTCCATGATGCCAAAATGACAAAAATGTGCAATGTAACATAGTGTTTGTACTTGCCTATGTTTTGTCACACCTTGGATTCAGATCAGAAGATGGAAGTTAAAGAATGGTCTCATCTAAGACCACTGAATACATTTGTGGAAAATGAAACTTCTCATCAATTGCTACCTCTTGGTTGAATATACACAAATTGTATATTATAAATATCGTAATCCTCCCTAGATTTGAGTCAGCCATGCTGTTCTCAAAAGGTGAATAGTAACTGGAGAAAGAATCTACTCTGTTATAGCTCCTGATTTAATTATCCTCCAGTTGGATTCACTTCAGGTACACTATTGAAAACCCCTGGCACCTTGAAATAGAGAAGCCTATATACTTCCCATATTTTCTACATGCCCTTTCTTAAGCCACTTTATCCTGAAATTGCATATTGTTTTGTACGAACTGCTGATGTTATTGTACTTTTAAATATTCAGTGTGAATTGCCTTACACTCTTGACAAAAGCCAGAAAACTGCAAATCTTTCTGAACATGTTCAGATCAATAGGCACAATATAAACATTTGCAAGAAAACTGCATGTAATAAAATCAAGAACGTCAGGGGGCTTCTTGGTTCACAGATTCATAAACAGGTCAATTTGTTTTATTGCGGAACAACTGACGGGCAATGGCTCTTCAAAGCTTTTCCATGAATATATTAGAAATATTCCAATCTTATTGGAAAAAGTTGGGGCTGAAGTCATGAGTTTACCTACAGATGTAAAGCACTCTTCTTGTACCAATTGTTCACTATTTAATTATTTAAGCTTGTGACCTACATTTCTAACCAAAGTCTTTATGCAGCATATAGTCCAAATATAATATAGGTAGTCTCAAATTTTTGTTGCTAAGCAACACTGTTCTTAAGTGAGTTTTGTCCCATTTTATAGCCTTCCTGCCACAAGGTGTTAAGTGAATCACTGCAGTTGTTAAGTTGATAACAAAGTTATAAAGTGAATCTGGCTTTGTCACTGACTTTGTGTCAGGACTCCGACAATATACCCACATTCATATCATGAGTCTCTAGCCGCATCTCTGAGTTTAAAAAAATCATTTATTAGGAGTGAACATGTCCCCGGGACACTGCAACTGTCATGAACACATGCCAGTTGCCAAATTTCCAAATTCTGATCACATGATGCTGCAACGGTCGTAAACGAGAAAAATAGTCATATGTCACTTTTTTCAGTGCTGAGGTAACTTCAAACGGTCACTAAACAAATGGTTGTAAGTCAAGGACTAGCTGTGCATGACTTTATATACAGTTTGTGCATGCACACACATGTTAATGCTACATTCTGCTTACTCTGTAGGTATTCAGTGCTAGGAGATCCTGAAACACCAAGTCTCTGGCTGGAGCTTTGCTGTAGCAACATTTGCTTGCAGCATACTCGATAAAGGCTTCTTTGGCTTCATCTTCTGAAATAGCAGGAATACTGTGGCAAGCAAAAAAAAATGTAGACAGTGAGCATAAATCACAGGGCTAGCTTCAAATAATCCTCCAGGACAGGGACATGCTACTTTTTGAGTTGCTGGCCATGGTCAGAATTTTTAGAGCATCTATGGATTCTCCCACAAAATGAAAAGCACTGGTGGGCACACTTGGTAGCAGAGCCTCATTTATCAGGTGACAAAATGGAGAGGCTGCTATTGACTTAGGATTCTCATCGGCTCTCTCAATGACTTTGGGTTTTAGTATTTTAGTTTTTTTTCTTCTTCTGGCCAAATGGGCATGTCCCCCCCCTCCCCAAAGCAACCACCCATCATTTTTACTTTCAAAGAAAGCTTTGAGGAAAGAACAGCGATGCTGGAAACAAGTAAATGAACTATAGGCCTAGTGGATGCTGAGGAAACCATGTTTATATCAGGAGTGGCAAACTCGATTTCATTGAGGGCTACATCAGGAATGTGTTTGACCTCAGGGGGCTGGGGTGGGTGTGGCCAGCTTGACATCACTCATGCCGGGGGCGGCCCAAGCGCTCTGCCAGTGAAAGCAGGCTCCTGAGCTTCATTTTCTGCTGCATTTGCCTCCTGCAACCCTCTGCCAGTGAAAACAGAGCTCAGCCCTCCTGAGCTTCGTTTTTGCTGGCAGAAACACCGGGGGCCGATCCTTCGCAGTTTCCAGGTGGCCCCACGGGTTTAAGCACCCTGTGAGTTTAACACCCCTGTTTATAAGAAACATAACCTTCCTTCAACAGAAGCAGCTTGTCATGCCCCAGTTGGAATCTGACTCCAAGGGAAAAATGGAACAGCTAACAGGGAGTGGGAGTGTGGCTCCGGTTGTGGAGGAAACTGGGGAAGGGCACAGGCCAGATGGGCATTCAGAGGAAGACCCAGGCCCATCTCCTCTTCATCCTAGGGCACGCAGGGAGGAATGGATAAAGGAGAAACGTGAATGGCATGGTCTACGGGGGAGGAAGGGGCCCTGATCCCCTTCATGGGCTACAGCTAGGAGGACTGTTTAAAAGGATAAACTGTGCGTGGCAAAGTTGCTGGAAGCATAGCATGCATTATTTTTGTTGGAGCTTATTTGTTTTTTGACTTCCTCCCAACTGTGGTTGCTGTGTTATCTGGTAGAAGTCTGCTATTAATCATCCTTGCCTGCCGTAGTAATTCCTTCAGTGTGGTTTGTGTTGAGTTTTTATTTCGAATTAACTTTACATTGGGTGCGGACTGCATTTACTCCCTCCATAAACTGTTTTAAGAGTTTGATATCCAGCTGAGGATAATTGGACATTGGGGCCAAGTTGGAGGCATTAAAGGGACTTTATTCTATTTTTGTGACTTGGTTATTTTTGTGTCATGCCCCGGGTCATCACACAGCATTTATCTCCTGCTTGATCTACTTCACTTTACAGGTAGTCCTTGACTTACAACCTTTAATTTAGTGACTGTTCAAAGTTACAATGGCAATGTAAAAAAGTGATTTATGACCATGTTTCACATTTACCACCATTGTGGCATCCCCATGGTCACTTGATCAAAATTTAGACATTTGGCAACTGGCTCAAATTTATGATGGTTGCAGCATCCTGAGATCATGTGATCAACTTTTGTGAGCTTCTGACAAGCAAAGTCAATGGGGAAGCCAGATTCACTTAACAACCATGGTACTAACTTAACCACTGCAGTTTTTCACTTAACAACTGTGGCAAGAAAAGTCATAAAATAGGGCCAAACTCACTGAACAACTGTCTCATTTAGCCACAGAAATATTGGGCTCAATTGTGGTTGCAAGTCAAGGGCTACCTGTGTTATCTATTGCACTTTCATTTTTCTCTTCCTCCAGATAAGCAGCAGATAACCACTTAGTTTGAGGCAAAGGCAAAATTAAAATAGATTCTTAGAAGATTTAAAAGGACAGTATCCAACTTACTTCCAGTTTGTCTGAGCTGGCATTGGCTCACTTTCCCAATAAGGAAGCGAATCAGGTGGAGGAGGGAAATACTTCCCTGCTGTAAAAAAAAAGGGAGTAAAGATGAGAAAAGAGGTTGCCGGTTAAACAGTGGCCAATGGTCTGTGGTCGAAGGAGTAGTGAGAGTGGCTTATCCTTTTGTAAGTCGTCCTAAATTCAAGGTTCTTATTCTCCAGTAAGTATCCTGCTATGCTCAGGATGCATCTGTTTACAGTGTAATCTGTAATTTGTTTACTTACAGACTGTTACCAAATACAAGCAACAGGCGATGGTTGGCAGCTGGCCAATGGATCATTTGGGTAGAGAAAACAGACCTCTATTTTTTGTCCTTCTGTTTGCAAAAAAGGAAACCTATGACTTTCTCCTCCATTGTAAGTCACACTGTGTTCAGTGGTTCTCTCCACTATGTAAGTCAGTACGCTTAAGATGTTAAGTCCTGCACAAACAGGACTGATCTCTCGATGTCCCCCATGTTGGGGATGAAAATCTGCAAGGGAATACCTTTCACGGAGATGCTGTATATGATTGATTTGAGGGTGCTCACTCTCTGGGAGACTTTACATGGTGGACTTTCACTCTCTCCACCTGCATTTTTAGATTATTTATTAAATTTATATGCCACCAATCTCACTACCCAGAGCGACTTCAAGTAGTAAGAGCAGGACAGGATGAGAAAACTTGTCCGTGTTTCCCTCAAAGCAATGGGAGCAACCACTCCTCTCTCTGCTCCAGCCAGTTAGTCATTATTTGTTTCCACACCCTTCTCATTCACTCTTTTTCTACACCTCCATCTGCCACTTTTGCCACACCCCACAAATATAAGTTGATCTGCTGTTTGCAGATCAAACAAGAGCGATGGTGGCAAAGTAGTTAGCAGTATTGCCGGCTAACTCTACTGACAGCCAGCAGTTCAATCTTGACCAGCTCAAGGTTGACTCAGCCTTCCATCCTTTTGAGATTAGTAAAATGAGAACCCAGATTGTTGGGGCAATATGTCGACTCTGTAAACCAGAAAGGCCTTCAAAGCACAGTGAAACGGTGTACAAGTCTAAATGCTATTGCTATTGCAATGTAATTATTGGGGTGGGGGGGGGAATCTTCCTTTCAGATAAATATGGTAATTCCCCCAAGGCAGCAAATTTAATTGCCATGAAATCAACACAAGAGCCTTGTGACACTTTAGTATTCAATATATTATCACGTGGATGTCATCATTTGTATCAGTTCTACACCAAACTTACTGTCCCCAACTGTAGTGCCTTCGTAGCCAGACACGTTGTTTACATCAAAGGCAGGAGGAGCAGAAGGTCCTTCAGCTGTCATAACAGGAGGTGTGATCCCTAAAACATGCAATGGAGAAACATTAATACTATAAGCATACAAGCATTTAACAAAGCATATGAAACATAGCATCTAATATATTCTCCTTCTGTCAAAAGTCGTATGATACATACATTGGAAGAAAAGTCTAAGAGAAAAGTCTAAAGATGGTCACTTGATACAACCATTAATTTATGCATCTCAATATGGACCTTGTCTTCAGAAAACTTTAAGACAAGAGGTGGACAATCTATGGCTAATGAGTCACAGGTAGTTTCCCCAGCACCCCATTTGCAGCTCTCAGATTCCCACAGCCCAATATTTCAGATCTATCATTTCAATTGGAAGAACATTTTTATGAAGGCTTAAGGTATCTTTCAGCAATCATGGCAACCTGAGAATACTGAATTACGTTTTCCCCCTTTTGGGGGGCTTTTCAGAGGAAAAAATGAACAAAATATTTGAAAGCTTAAAATATTCATTTTGCTCCTTACACTCTCTCAAAAGATAGCGGGGGTGGGTTTGAGAAATTGGGTGTTTTCAAACCTTTAGCAATGCCACACCAGGCATTAAATCAACTCTTTATTCCTTGGCAACTTTAAACTGTATGAACTTTAAACCTAAGAGCTGAAGCCCACATATCTTAAAGCCTTTCCAAAACACTGCTGTAACCTGTGTTCTTTTGTCCTGAAGTACAATCAACTCCAGATTACAATTCTTGATACTGAAACTACTAATACTGACAGCAGAAAATGGCATAAAGCCAGTTTAATGTACTATATGAGATAGTTGAATGCAACAAAATTTGATTTTAATGTATGCTGATTAGTGTACATTTAAAGTGACAATAAAGATTCTATTCTATTCTATTCTATTCTATTCTATTCTATTCTATTCTATTCTATTCTATATTCTATTCTTACAGTGCTTAACTGGAACACAGCCTGTTCTAGATGATATCTGTATTTCATAATCCTGTACAAGCTAACTGCACAAAAAATAGTTGTTTTTATTAAAAAATATAGCATGTACATCCCAAGATTCGGATCAAAGAATCTTCTTGATAACTATTTATATAATACTAAAAGGTTATATTATTACTCAATGTATATCACCTGTCAATGAAATGTAATAAGATGGAGAAATACAACTTCATATTTCTCTCTGCTGCAAAATCCAATAGGATGAACTTTGACTGATAATCATCTTTCAATCGAACTTACCCCAAAGGGATAATGCGAGAATTCAATGGGAAGTGAATGATACAAAGAGCTTTTTAGAGAAAAAGTGAATAAAATACAAAGAGATAAATTGATATTAATATTTTAGCAGGTCACTTTGCTTACAGCTGGAATGTTAAGGTCTATTTTCTCCCATTCTTTATAGGATAATAATAAAGATAGATTGTCAGTGTATATTGGGAGTGTAAAAGAACAGGGGATGATAAGGAATCTATTTACCCTAGAAGTCAAAAGTAGGATTTTATATAGTAGTAAAATTTATTATCTAAGACCAGAACCATGGCAAGAAGGCAATTTAAGTCCAGAACCTTAACATTAAAATAAAATGCTTAAGTCATTTTAATGACCTAACTGTGGGTCTAGTGCTGCTTATTCTAATAATTAGAGGCTACAAGCTTTGTGAACAGCATAGAACAGAGGTCTCTAAACTTGGCAACTTTAAGACTTGTGGACTTCAACACTCCACAAGTCTTAAAGTTTGGGGACCCCTGGCATAGAACCTGGAAGGTTATGATAACTGGCAACCTTGTATGGAACTGCTGTCTCTGCAATTCTTCTCACATCATACATAAACAACATCAAACTGTCATGCAAGTAGGAAATCTTCGTGACACCAGCAAGACCCACATTCCTTACTATCTAGTCTAAATGCACGTCAGATGCCCTCTGGTGATGCTGGTTTACTCAAGGATAAAGATAAAGACAATAAATCCATGCAGGCTTTCCTGCATTTAGAACACAAGAAGAGTCCAACATACAATGATCAGAAAGGGCTATTTGCAGGGTCTGCCTCTAGTAAGGTAATGACTATGACTATGTGAAGTGATCCCTCTTCCCCAGACAAGCAGATGCTCCCTCTTTCAAAGATAGCATCTTCTACATCCTTATCTTGATGACTATAAAGTATTAAATCAGCCAACATTTCTGGCAATTTCATGAAAATTTTGTAAGCCAATTAGATATAGTGGTGAAGGCACCAGCTAGGAAACAAGAGACCATGAATTCTAGTTCCACCTTAAGCCCAAAATCAGTTGGATGACTTTGGGTCACTCACGCTCTCTCACTCCTAGTAAGAAGGCAATGGCAAACACTTCTGAGAAACCGTACCAAGAAAACAGCAGGGACTTATTTAGGCAGTTGTCAGGAGTCAACACTAACGCCAAGGAATGTTGCATGCATGCAATAAATAAACAAATCATCATGTTAACATTGTGTATAGATGAACATAATTCCTGCTTTAAAAAAATTATAGACTCAGATCAGGGGACTCAGATGACTTTTCATGCACCATCCTCATCATACTTTTCCTGGACATCAACCAGACGCAGCCAAGCTAGAGTACACTGGCCTTTGCCTATCCATTAGCTTAAGACTCCTCAGCCAGTAACAGGGTCTTCTCCAGATGGCAAGCACTAGTAATGGCACTTAGACTTTTATACCACTTCACAATGCTTTACAGCCCTCTCTAAGTGGTTTACAGAGTCAGTGTATTTCCCCCAACAATCTCATTGGCCTCGTTTTACCAACCTCAGAAGGATGGAAGATTGAGTCAACTTTGAGCCCATGAGAATTGAATCTGTGACACCAGCAAGAATTAGTCTGCAATACTGCATTCTAACCATTCTAATTCTACATTATAATTCTGTGCCACTGTAGCTCTTTCCCTGATTCTCCATTTTCATTTTTTGCACTCCTTATTCCTTTTCGCTTTAGCAAAGGGTTTTTCTAAGCTGTGTTCCATGGAACCTTAGTGTTCCCCAAGAACTCGATGGAGTTCTGTGACAAAAGGCAAAACCAAAAAAGTTCATTTGACCAAGCCAGAAGCATCCATAGCGAATGGAAGGAATGTGTGGGAAGGAGGGGGTTTCTACTGTGAAAAAAAAAAAGAACCACAGTTGCCATTTTGTGGATTGAAATTCTGGGATTTTTAAAAAATAAAGCAGGTTCCATGGCCTGAAACAGACAGAGGAATATGGTCAGACATTTTCATTGATGATGATTAGGAAGAAAAGGGTAACCATTGCTCTACGACCGGTAACAGAGGCATGGCTTTCTATATTTAATTTGGGATTTTTTTTTGGTTTGTTTTTTGGCTCATTTTTAATTTTTAGTGCTTTCAAGTCAGTCTTGACTTCTGAGGACTGCCTAAACTAATCCCTGCCATTTTTTTCTTGGCAACATTTTTGGAAGTGATTTGCCTACTTCTTCCTAGAACGTCACCCTGCTGGCTTTCATATCTAAGGAAGGAATAGCATTCCTGGTTTTAAGCTTGATTCCTTAAATCACTATGTCAAAGTGACTCTGTTCCATGACCTTTAGCTAGTTTAAAGCATTTCCCAAATGATTTCAACGTAATTAAAAGTAGCTTGTATATGTAACCGAAGCAAGTTTATTATAGGCACAAAGATGGAAGAGTACTGAAATTCTTACAGTGAAGGAAATAAATCATAAACATGTCAGAACTAGTGGAAATTGCGAACCTGACCACTCTGGTCAGGTAGAAAACAAGTATTTTTAAAAAAGGGTCTGGCAACTTTTTATAGACTTTTCACTAAAAGAAGAAGAAAGTGAGATGATGATTTATGGATTTAATTATTGAAACAGATGAGAATTCAATAAGGGGTTGAAGGGATTTCTGGAAGAATTAAGAGGGAGGGAATAGTAGGTTTGTGAATATCTGTCAAAGAGAACATTGGAAGTCATTATATTTCTTAACTTTAGGTTTTTTTTAATTGTCTTGCTCTTCCTTCCTATTTGTTTCTTTATCTTTTACCTTTTTTTTATCTTTGCCTTATACTCTACGGGCACCCCCCCCCCCCCATTCTGATCTTTATTTCCTGGTTTTCAAGCTCAACTGCTTCACGTGGCACAGCGGATTGCCGTGCGTCAGCTGTTTAACACACAGGGAGATTGCAGGAGGTCAGTAGCAAACCCTCTGCACATGCATGTTCAATGAACCGATTGTTACCCCGGATGAATCACACCCCTGAGCCACGCCCACCAAGCCACGCCCACATAACCGGTAGTAAACATGTTTGAATCCCACCACTGGTGTGATGACCCGGGGTGTGGCACAAAGGCAACACAGTCACATAAGTAAGAAAAGTCCCTTTAATACCTCCAACTTTGCCCCCAGTGTCCAGTTACTTTCGGCTGGAGAAAAACATATCCCAAGAACAGTCTTTAAGTGAAGGAAATTCAGTCCGAAAACGAAGTACATATAAACTGTAAATAAAAATCATGCTGCAGCAATTAACTGGACAAGGCAGGATAAGAAATTGCAGACTTCAAAGGCCAACAAAACACACACAGTTGGGAAGATGCCAGGAACCCAGATAAGCCAAAACAAGATAATACACCATTTGCTTCCAACAAGTTGCTGTGCACAAACTCCCTTTTTAAACACTGTGTTCCCAGCTGCAGCTAATGAAGGGAATTAGGGCCCTTTCCTTCCCTGTAAGCCACGCAATTCACGTTGTTCCCTTCTCCGTTCCTCCCTGCGTGCCCTAGGATGGAGAGGGGGTGGGCCTGGATCTTCCTCTGAATTCTCTCTGCCTTGCTCTACCTCTCCCCTGCTCTGCCCAGCCGGACTTTGCCCTTTCCCAGTTTCTTCCACAGCCAACGGAGCCACACTCCCACTCCCTGTCAGCTGCTCGGCCTCCCCCTCAGAATTAGATTCCGACAGGGGCATGGCAACTGGTTACAACAGCACTGAAAAAAGTGAGTTATGACCATTTTTCACACTTATGCAATTGCAGCATCCCCATGGTCATGTGATT